ACCCTAATAGGGCTTTCAAGTGAGATATTTAAGGAGTGGCTTTACCCGTTCCACATCCTCGCTGAGGATTGAGCGGGGATTTGAACCCAACCCTCCTGAGTCCTCTGTCCAATACACCAGACTCGATTATCAGTGGTGTTTACACATGGGTAGTTGCCAATCGGATTGCAGCCTTTCACAACGAAGCAAAGGCTGCCAAAACAGACAATGACGTTTATTTATTTAAAATATTTTTAGCCTGCCTTTCTCCTCAAAAAGACCTCATTTAAAGTTTCAGCACACGCGCGCGCGCGCGCGCACACACACACACACACACAACACACACACACACACACACACACACACACACACACACACACCCTTCAAATTCTGACTAAAAGGATTGAAAGGCCTTGAACTAGAAAGATCATATAGTGCCATGTTTTCTTGTGAATACACTTTGCTCCATGCTAAGGATCTGTAGGTTTAAGATATTAAAAACAGACAGCACAATACAAGAGAAGGAAAATGAGAGACCCTGCTGCCCTCCTAGGCTGTTATGCAACATGCAAAGCAGTAACACCTGCATTTTCTCTACAAACATCTGCTGTCTTTGTTTAGTTCCACCATATGATTGATGGGGTTTACATTTCCTCATATGTTAAAATAGCGCTGTGTTTAAACTATTTGGCAGGTGACTTCTTTCATTACACCTCTTATATTGAAATAAGGTCTGTAAAGCTATTGCCTCTTCTTGCATTTGTATTTTATTGTGTTTGGACCACACGACTCCCTTTTATTTCAATGGAACGATGAGGATCCCAAGAAATAGCCACACACACCCTGCACCAACAAGACAGCACAGGGACTCTCAACGTTAGCAAAGCAGGACGGCAACCACAAGGTAATATTATTTTGACTTTAATCTGGCCTCAATTGGCTAAACCTAGCGTGTTTACTCAATTATCACCCCAGTTCCGAGATGAAGGACTCCGATTTTCTGTGTCACCCCTTCCCTGGTCAAACAGAAATATCTGTTTCAAAGAAAGGCCATGTGGGAAGGTGTATGCGCTCGTGTGCATGGCCTGAGCTTCTTTGTCTGAAGATGTCTGGGGTGTGATTTCCAATCCACAGCGGCCTCAGCTTCAACCTTAAAACAGCAACCATACTGCTTCCTGCATCTTTCCTGACTTACATCGAAGAAATATGTGCCTGGTGAAATCCATCTTATCAAGAACTTTTGAATTTTACATCTAAGGGCAACTTTCCTGGCTAAATCTCTCTTGCCATGAATTTGTGGACTTTAATTTCTTCACATTGGTACAAGCCTGATGAAGTGATGTTTTTACCCACAGAAGCTCGCTGTGGCGTTTACCACGTGGCCCCTGCTTGTTTCACCCAACACAGAGCTCACAAAGGTATCCCAACACGCCTCTCGACACGCTGCCACCAGTTGATCTCTTTATTAACTTATTTTTCTTTTGAAAGACTAAGGTCCATCCAGTACTGACTTTTTAACAGAAACAGGTTTATTGATTACACTTGGACTAATTCTTAAGCACATTCTTAAAGTTCCAGCAAGCTTCAATACATTTTTCTTTAATCTCTTCTGTATTAATCAACACAGGTCACACTCTGATTAGGTAAAGGTAAAGGTTCCCCTTGACATTTGTAGTCCAATCGTGTCCGACTCTAGGGGGCGGTGCTCATCCCGTTTTCAAGCCATAGAGCCAGCGCTTGTCCGAAGACAATTTCCATTGCCATGTGGCCAGCATGACTAGGCATTTTACCTTCCCACCGAGGTGGTACCTATTTATCTAATTGCATTTACATGCTTTCAAACTGCTAGGTTGGCAAGGAGCTGGGACAAAGCGACGGGAGCTCACTCCATCACGTGGATTCGATCTTACGACTGCTGGTCTTCTGACCCTGCAGCACAGGCGTCTGCGGTTTAGCCCACAGCGCCACCACGGCCCGCCACACTCTGATTAATCACTGCCTAATGACTCCTTAAACACTCTCTGCCTCAAAACCCCAAACTATCCTGTTCTCTAGCTCAGTGGTTCTTAACCTTTTTGGCCACCACGTCCCGCCACACTCTGATTAATCACTGCCTAATCACTCCTTAAACATTCTCTGCCTCAAAACCCCAAACTATCCTATTCTCTAGCTCTCTCTGACTCTGACTGACTCCTCTCTTTCAGGCTCCGCCTCTTCAGCAGCCCCTTTGGCCCCGCCTCACAACCATATTAACATATAACTTATGAATAATGCATATAACCTATAATACATAAGTTAGGGTGGATGCCATATTCCTCCCCCCCCCCCTTAAATATGTTTGTTTAGGAGGCAGTGGAAGACAGGAGGGCCTGGCATGTTCTGGTCCATGGGGTCAC